CTCTGTTCTATATCATTCCTGGTAGTCTGTCTCATTATTAATAATTATAAAAACACTTTACCCTTGGTCTGCAACAGTAATTCTTTTTAGAAATATTCTTAATTATCTTTACCAGGGATTGAGAGACTCTACATTAAAGTGCATGTTTAAGAAATCTATCTGAGGGGAGCTCTGGTGGCCTAGTGGCAAGAAGCTGCACTGCAATCCCAGAGCAGCACGGTTTGAATCCACCAGATGCTCTGCCGGGAAAGGAGGGACAATCTCCTTCCTGTACCAGTCAGATCTGATTTGACGGTACACACACACACACACACACACACACACACACACACACACACAAATAATAAAATAAAAAAAAAGATAAAAAAAAGAAATCTATCTGATAAGATCCAGTGATGTTCTGTATTTTTCGTTGCATCCTTCCAGAAATGTGTCCTGAGAATGGATCGTGTGTGCCCGATGGACCAGGCCTCTGGCAGTGTCTTTGTGCTGATGGTTTCCATGGCTACAAGTGTATGCGCCAGGTGAGGCTTTAGACTTTAGAGGTAAGAAATGGGTAGAGCAGAAACCCATCTTAAGGAAGTCATAATATCAGAAACTAATGTTGGTCACCTAGTGAAGCAAAGCTATAGTTACCCTAAATGAGAGCTTTAGGCTATTAGTCAACAGCTATTAGGAACAGGGTTCGGGAGGAGGATGCGATGTGATGCTCAATGAGATTTTTTTGGACTGTTACAGGGCTCGTTTTCACTGATTATGTTCTTTGGGATTCTGGGATCCACTACGCTATCCATCTCTCTTCTGCTGTGGGGGACCCAACGTCGAAAAGCTAAAGCTTCGTGAACTGCGTGGGTCTCCTTGGTGACCTGAAAACCTCCTTCAGGCATAGGCAGGGCCCAGGCCGATGCTCAAAGGACCATGGAAAATGGCCCCATGCTCGAGGGTTGTGGACAGTTTCGCTGGGAATAGGGAGCTAGTACTAGTTCCCATTTGTGGTGTTGACTATAATAAACATTTCTCTTCGTCTTTTTTCAGGGAAAGTTAGCCTGACTGTGTGGTTATTGGTTGGGATGGGGGAGGCTGTTTGGGGAAACATCGGCATTTTTGCATTTTGCATTTTGCGTTGGTGGCCTAGCAGGGCACTGGTCACCTAGCAGGTAAGGAGTTGTGGTAAAGACAGGCAGCTGAAATCCAGCAGCTGCCCCACGGGAAGAAAAGTCTCCTCGCGAGCGGCTTACAGCCCGAGAGGGCCTGCTGTGCGATGCGCGTCCTGCTAGCAAGCATGTCAGCAGCCGCGCGGGCTCCAGAGGCAACCCGAGGCCTGAGCAGCCTCCCGCGCGCCGCGCGCGGCCCCGCCCCGGCCCCG